AGCTGTATCCTGAACCTGAATCTTCCACGTACTTTAAGAGAACACACTTGTCTCGACTTCAGTGATACTTACTTCTAAGATTTTTGCAGTCTAGGTTGGATAAATTAAAATCACACAGAAATATAGTTTTCTGAAGCTTCTTTCTTAAACAAATTTTGGTTTGGAAAGGTACCAAATATCATGAAATTATATTTGCAAGAATTTCAAAATGAATTAATAGAGTTCATGAGCCTTTCTTTTATTTTGTGTATTCTTACTGAAAGCCATTGGAAACTTATTGACAATTGACACAATGTTGATTTGACAGACAAATGCAGCCTCAACCTACAAATACATCATTCTTGCTTTGAAACAATAGATGGAAGATTTCTGACAATACTGTGCATTTAGAATTAATCTACTGTTATGTGGGAGCAATCTCTCCCTCACAGAAGAATATTATTTTCCTTATTTTTAAAATTAAAAGTATTACATTCTTTACTGGACTTCTCAATCAGCCACTTGAATCAGTGAATTACTGAAAAATCAGTAAGATTTAGTCTCATGATAGATCCATGGAGATAATATTAAGTGATCATCTAGAGAATACTATATAAAACATTTTCCAATCCACATCATTTGTGTCGGAGTAATTAAGTGAAGGGGGAAAAAGGCATCGAAGATAGTTCCCTTTTCCGGCTGTGGGTGGAATGTTGCAGACTCTCCCCTCCCCTCGGTCAGCCTGTTTGGGTCTTTTTCTGCAGCCAAAATCCAGTTAGCTCTCTTAAAAGGCTTGGTAATATGCCGAATTGCTCCCGGCTTGAGTTTAATGGAGTTAAATGAACCTGAATGATGGCAACAGTTTTAGCTGTCTAGCACGTGGCTTTTTAAGAAAGGTAATTGGATTTGAAAAGGAAAGACATTTCCTGGATCCACAGGAAGAAAGTCAGAGCTTTCTCCCTGGCTCCAGAATTTACCTACGTCCTTGGTATCCTACGGGACACTGAAACAGATCACAAGCGTGCCCTGAAAAGTGAATCAGTCTCATGAAGCATGAATGAACTCGCAGGAGAACGTACCAGCCCTGCCTTTTCTGCATATTATGAACTGAGACTCGCAAAGAGATGTTCCTTCCAGGACGCCTGCTCTTTTTCTTCAGCCGATGAAGAGCACTTGCTCGGAAAGTTCAGGATCAAAAAACCATCAGAAATAAGTAATGGTGACAGCTGAGAGTTTGGCCAGACGATAAACAGCTTTGCTTGCCTTCTGCTGGCTTGATATTGACATGCAAACAAACTCAGTGGTAGCTGGAGCAGTGAAAGTGTTTTTACTAACGCGTAATGAATGAACCCTATTCCACCCCTTCACCCCCGTGTGACATGGACACGCACGCACTCACGCAGAGCCACGGGCAGATCTAACGCAGCCTCTCCTATCTTTGCGTCCAAAAGTGTCGTGTACTATGAATCATCCCTATGAAACCTATTTTAAACATATTTTCATGGATATACACTTCCTTCACTGATATAAGGTGATCGATCCACCAAAAAGCACCCAGGCTTCATTTCTGGGTCAAAGGCTTTAACTAAAAATAAAAACAAAATAAAAACCTCAGTTCAAGAGTGTGTGGGAACGTTTGGCTATAAGGGCCTTTATTTGCATACTCCAGACTTACACTCTGGACCCTTTGATTAAGAGTAAAGGTCATATATGGATTGATTTTTCAGGAGCAGTATGGATGAACCAGCCGTCAGTTATTATGCTTAGCAGTATTGGGTGGAAAAATGAAGCCACACAGATCTGGTGAATATATTTTATTACACAGGCATTGAATATATTTTCAGATTCAGTTCTGCTGCCTGCATTTCAGGGAGGACGGATGTACCCAGATATCCATCTTTACAAGCAGCATTTTATTTTGTGCAAGAAGAAAATCACACTGTGGAAAACGATAAATGAGCTTGCCCACCTCCTGGGGAAGCATGAGGACATGCAGAATCTAGTAAGCTTTGTTCCTGGAACTGGCCTATCATTTTCTGGCTGGCTGCTTTGAAATGATATTGCCACGAGAAAGAATGGGTTGGTGGCAGTCCTATATACATTTACCTGATAGTAAACCCCACAGAACTCAGTGGAGCCACTTCCAAGTAGACATGCCAAGGGCTGCATTCTTTCCCATGCTTCAGGCAAGCCCATTGTAATAGATGGAACTTTTCTTCCCATCCCATACTGGTTTCAGTGGCTCTAAGCATGACTTCAGACTGGATGTACCCCATAAGCATTGCTTAATAATTTGGGAGGGTGTCCTTCCCAGTAATTTCTCGATATTTTAATGACCTGCAGATCACTTCAGCGCTCTGTTAAGAGAGGCCGAGGGGAGGGCTACAGTTGATCCCTGCACCATTGTTATCTTCCCATATCCTATAGGGTTGATAAGGAAAATCTTAGGGGGAAATCTTAGGACTGCCATTTATGTATATAAATATACCTTAAAACATAAGCCTTGTTGATATTTTGTTCATTATGAGGCAGAATATAAATCTTAAGTTTAGTTGGAACTGAGAGCATCACATTTCACCATCTGGATTCACCTAAGGAGCCCAGCTGAACTGAAAATGCTTTGTGTAAGACCCTGGGCCTATGGGATGTTTGCTGAGACCATTCTGAGTCACCACTCACTTGGGCTGACCACAGTTATTAGGCCCTGAAACTGACTGAGGGTAAGGACTCTCTTGGATACCATTCTCCCCCCCCCCCCCACAACCCGCCCCTCATAAAAAGATTTGGAGAAGAAGAGGAAGAAAAACCTCCTTCACACTTTTGGCTTTTCCAAATATATTACTCATTGGTTGGACTGGGAGAGTCAAATGATGCCCCTTCTCTCCCTGAACTATCACATCATATCGTGCCATAATACAATAATTCCCTTCTTTTCCCCAGAAGGAAAACTTTCAGATCTATCAGAGAGTGAACCAACATCACTAAATTTAACTATAGGTCCTGCAGGTGTTGTTGCTTGAGCCTCATTCCCATATATTTAAGACACAATTCTATGGTTGTTTAAACTGAAAGGAACTTACAGGAAGCAACATAAAGATCCTAGACAGATTTACTTCACACAGAAATAAGCTTAGGCCCAGTGAAAGGTTGGGGAACTGAACTGCTGAAGGAAGGAGACATAGACCTGTTCTGGCTGCCTGTATGGAAAGCCACTGGAAGCCTCCTGCATCAGCAGCAGCTGAAGAACAACAGTTACACCAGAAAAGATTTGCTTCTAAGTAAATGGTTTCAGAATTGGATTGCAAATATAGATGCATTGGCCAAAGAAGCTGTTTGGCCTAGGCCTTAATACATGTATAGCAACAGTATTCCATGCATGTCTACTCAGGAGTAACTCTGCTTGAGCTCAGTGGGTTTACTTCCACTTAAGTGGGTATAGTTTTTAAGGTGCTGAATTGCTTTGTTTGCTGCACAAGACTTTTAATACAGCTAAAGTAAAAGTAATTGCTATGCTTTCTATAGCTCTAATGGGAACATGCATTAACTGCCAAGGCTATAAAACCAACTGCTTTGATTTGCTAGTTGATTTTTAAAGGGAATTAATCTTAGGCACAAAAATCCACAGGGAATCCAAATGCATTTATTTCCCAAGAAACTTCATAGGACAGCTTCAGGTACAGGTACATGTTTCCCCAGAAATGTATTGAATTAATTGGGTGTCCCAAAAGTATGTTTAGGATCTCAGCTGTAACATGAAAACGTTTTAGACTGTTAGCATCTGGAAACACAGACCTGTTCCTTTCTACTCTGTGAAGCACACAGATTCCAATGGCATAGCTCAACAGCATAATCTGAATTATATAAGGAGTTACAATATGAATCCTGTAATATACAGAAAGTACACTCAAATACTAACCAGCTAGTACACAAATACTGTGTACACTTGGAAACTTATGATTCCCTTCCACCTTGCACTCGACACCCCCAAAAGAGTTTGATTTCCAAGGTACATTTCAAGGGAGGTGCAAATCATGCTAGAAGACTACTTAGTTTGACAGCAAATTCTACTAGCATGCTAACTTGGTGCCAAGTTACATTACAAGTAAAGTTCCCAGGAAATGTGCTACCAATCGAAGTATTAACCATTTGCACAATATGTGAAGAGGTTTCCTTCTGCAAAGACTTTGATCTCCAAATGAAGCAGCATTCCTACAGCTGCATCTATAATCCAATAGGAGTTGGCAGAGGAAACTTACATGAGAAGGTTAGGATCAGAATTAACCATCGCTTTTGTTTTTAAGAGAAAATAAAAGGGAAATACCATTCCAGAATTCACCTCTACCCTGGAAAATGTCAATCTAGTGAACAACCAAGTCAGGGGGGAAAAAGCTAGTTTTAGCATTTGACAGAGCCTGTAAGAGCTCAGAAAGCAAACAAAAGCCATTTTCCTGCACTAAAGTCAATGGTAATATTCCTATGAACTGGCACTTCAGTTCTGTGTGGCATTAAAGGGACGGGGCATCCTGTAGAAAAAAATTAAATGACTAAAATATAAATACAACTTTCTCTTCCAAAGTAAAAACACTTCATTGCTACAAAAAATGTTTTGCTGCCCAATCAGCATTCTTTCCATCCAAATGAAGAATGTTAATTGTACTGCTTTTCTCTTCTTTTTGCATAAAGAGTTGGTATTTCAATTTGTGATAGATTTTTCTGTAGAATTGGTCTGCTGGTTAAATATTCAATATGTTCAATAAATATTTAATATACATCTAATAAGGCCAATGTTTGGACATCCCAGCCATTAATCACAGCAGCCCCAATGCGCTTCTAATTCACCAGCTCAGAAGGGAAAAAAGCCAACAATCTCTTTTATTTACCTCTGCTTCTCTTTCAACTCCACACCATTTTAATCCATATGGAAGCAACCATCCTTCCAATAATGGAACAAACAAAACAAAACAAAACAAAAATCCCAAAATTGCTCATTGATAATATTTGATTTATTTAAAGTCCTTAACTGCAAATGATTGAAAGAGAGAAAGGGGGGGGGACATACTTTATGGATTATATTGTCATTTGTTAAAAAAAATCAAAACATTTTCTCAATTACAATCACATTTATTATAAAATTAAGGTTTTATTTTCTTTAAAATGGTGTGTATCATTTTAAAACCGTCATTTAAAGCACTTTCAAGCTGTAAAGAAAATGTATAAACCGTGCAAATAAATTAAGAACATCGTGAAAGCGAACAGGAAAATAACAACAAAACGAGGGGAATCTCCCGCCGCCATCTGGCTAGGCTAAAAACATAGTGGAAAAACCGTGGAAAGTGCATTAACACTGGATGAACGTGCTAACAACGGCGATAATTAAGCGGCCACACGAATTTCGGGAGCGGGGGTGGGCAATCACGATTGGGAATAGATTGATCTAATGAAAGTGGGAGAGAGGAACCCCTCTAGCTTACAGTAATTTGCGGGGGGAGGGCTGCAACAATTAAGGATAGTTATATACTTCCAGGACGCACGCGAGGAAAAGGACTCTGGGAATAAATAACCGGGTTATGCACGTGGCCAGGAGACTTCCTGAGCAAGGAGACCCCTCCGTAACAGCTTGGGGGAAATAGCAACCCTAAGAGGAAGGGAGCAACGCGCCTTAAACGGCTGTGACCTGTGTGTGACTTGGTACCATATCCCGATTCAGGCCCTTTGGGAGGCGCGAGAGTTCTCCATTTTGAACTCCAGCTGCTATCTCTGCCACTTTACACGGCGGGAGGGTAAGGCATCCGGCCCGTGTGACCGGGCCTCCCAAGGGAGCCATTCCGAACCGTTTCAAACCACTAAGGATCGTGTAGGGACCGGGGACACGTCGGGCATTGGCTTCAACAGTGCGCGAAAGGAGGCTTTCCCACCTCTCAAAATGGACGGACTTCCCATAGATTCCCCCCCGCCGCGCGCGCGCGGTGTTTTGTTCTGTTCTCAGCACTGTTGTGCGTGTCCCTCAGAAGCGGCCTAATTTTACTGTCACCCAAACCCTGCCTTTGGCGCTCTATCGGGAGCGGGCCGCAGCTCCCTCGGGGGCAGAGCCCAAGCCTCGCATGCGTCGGAAGGCCCCGGGCTGGCCCTTCAACGACACCGACGTCGCGGGGGGAGCAAGCAGGACGATGACCCAAAATGCGCTGATCGACGCCGCCGAGAGGCCACGGACAGCCGGAGAAAGCAAGACTGCACGAGACGGGCCAAGACACCTCTCGCTCAGTCCGGGAAGCTTCCTAGACTTTTCTGGTTGAAGTCCCGCCACCAACCTCTAAATCTCGCGCGATTTCACCGGGACAAGAAGGCGAGGAATCCCCCATCTTCAACATAATAATTTACAAGATGAATGTCTGTCTGTCTACAGTGGTCATGGCAAGGGAAGGCGGGTATATACAGTGTGTGTGTGTGCTTGGCCAGGAGTTGCTTGTGGGACTTTTCCAGCCAAAATAGAAGAAACAGGATGCATTCGGGATACAATAATAATAATAACAACAACAGTAATAATAATAAAGTAACAGTCCTTTCTTTTGCTTCTCCCCTCGCCCTTTTCTCTTGCTCTTTTCCCTCTTGCACGGATCCTGCAGGCTGTGCGTGCATGCTTGTGTGTGTGCGGGACGGGGGAGTTGTACGTCAGTTTGGATAGAAATCTAGAGAGAGGGAGAGAGACAAACAGGACAGGGAAGCAAGACTGGTTCAGCTCGGTTGGCCCTCAAGTATGTCCCTGCCAGCTAGGACGTGTTTAGGACCGGTCTGGAATACACACCTTGGTAGTAGGACGGCTCCAGGGCCGAGGGCTCAATGCCTCCCCTGCCGCCCATGGAGGCGCTGCTGAGAGGCAACCCGCCAGGCAGGCTGGCCCCGTAGGAGGAGTACTGCAGCGCTTGCTCGTAGGCCTTGAAGTCCAGCTTGTGCTGCTGTTCCGACGAGGACATGAGGTTGTTAATAGAGAACGGGTGGTTGAAGGAATAATGGGGGTCGCCCTTGAGGTGCAGCTGCGACTCGTGGTGGCCCAGCGGATGGCCCGGGTGCCCGAGCGAGGCCAAGGGGGGGCCGGAGGAGGCCGCTGCCACCGCCGCGGCTGCGGCGGCTGCAGCCGCGGCCGCGGCGGCCACCGAGGGCTTCAGCTCGCCTCCATTGCCGTTGTGGTCCAGGGTTTGGGGGCTGCTGGCGCCGGCGTTGGACGGGGCCGCGTCTAGCGGGCCGCCCTTGGATGGGCCTCGGTGCAAAGGCGGGCTGGCGCCGCCTGGGTCTTTCCTGCTCTCGCCCCCGTGGTGGCCGCCGCCTTGTCCCCCTTTGCCGCCGCCGCCGCCGCCGGGCTGCTTCTCGCACTTGAAGCGCTTCTGGCGCCGGAGGTAGCAGCCGTTCTCGAACATGTTGCCCGAGTCCGGATGCAGCGTCCAGTAGGAGCCTTTGCCCGGCTTGTCCGGCGAGCGGGCCACTTTGACGAAGCAGTCGTTGAAGGAGAGCGAGTGGCGGATGGAGTTCTGCCAGCGCTGCTGGTTCTGGCGGTAATAGGGGAAGAGGTCCATGATCCACTGGTAGATTTCGCTCAGCGTCAGCATTTTGCTGGGCGCCTGCTGGATGGCCATGGTGATGAGCGAGATGTACGAGTAGGGGGGCTTGGCGTGCGGGTAGCTGCGCTTGAAGCTCTTGGCATCGCGGCCGCGGCTCAGGTTGGATGGTGCGTAGCCCATGGGGCTCATGCAGGGTCCCATGGCCCCGTAGGCGCCCAGGCCGTTCAGCGAGGCCTGGGGGGCGCCCATGGCATTCATGCCCCCAGGGCTCAGCGCCGACCCCATGGCCGACATGCTGTTCATGGCGCCCCCCGTAGCCCCGGGGCTCAAGCCAGCGCTCAGGCTTGGGTTGGCATAAGACATGTTGAACGAGCCCGACGTCATGTTGCCGCTGGTGGTCATGGCGTTCATGCTCATGTAGGTGTTCATGGAGTTCATAGAACCCAGTCCAGAATTCATGTTGCTCACGGGAACCGTCGAGTAGGCCTGCGGGAGAGAGATAAATTAGACCAGAGAAAGGAGACCGGCTCTCTGACCAGCCAAACGCCAGCCCCGCAATCCATAATTGCGCGTACTTTTGCGTGTGAATGCCCAGCCACCTTCGCACGATGCTATAGTAACTGGCATGGGTTAGAGACGCCACTTTCACCCAGAAGCTGCACTGAAAGTCCACGAACAAACCCTCGCTTCTAACCCTGCTGCTGTCGCACAAGATTTGGTCAAAAGGGACTTCAGTTGCCCACCTTTATGCCAAGACGCTTCAAATAGCTTTAGCCGAGACATTGTCATTGTTTAGGGCCACGCACGTCGGAGAAACTGGCGGATGCATGGGTCATCAAGCACACCTGGATCCGTGGAAATAAATCGCTTGCGAGTTTATGAACGGGGAAAAATTAAAGCAAAACAAATATCTCAGCGGCCGGATTGCAATGACCACGTTGCAGTGAGCAGCGCCTTATTGGGAACGTATTAGCACAGAATTTCATTTCCAAGTAAAGAGGGATTCAACGCACACACGTGAACACCCACAGCCCACACTTCCCTCTTCAGGAAGACACACCGAGTCTTTTGAGGACGTGGCCTGCCGTGGGATGGGAGCCTGTTCTTTCATAGGAAATACCTGGTGTGTGTTAAATCATCCCCACTATCTAAGCCACAGTTCGGGGCTATGTTGGGAAAAGAGAAACCAGCAGCCCCGAAGTTGCACCCGACAACACGGCAGCGCAAAACTCCAGTTCACGGACTGCCCCCCGCCCCCAAATCGCCAGGAGGCCTAAGCAAGATCTGGCAAGGGAAGCGTTTGCTCCCGAGACTCCTCCTTTCGTCCGCGGTTGAGTGTCAGTTTGTGTATTATGCTTTTTTCCATAAAAAAAGAGGGAAAAAGAGGAAGGAGGGGAAAGGCGGTCCTCTCAGCCTCCCTAACTCAGAATTCGCATTGTGGGGAAGGTGTGACCCCGTCCCTCGAAGGAGATGCCAAGGAAAGGTAACCCGAACTGCCGCTGAATAAAACACAAGGCGCTGCGGTCGGGCCGTGGCCTCACCCAGCCTCTTCGCCCCGCTGCTCCGCTGCGCGCCGGGGGAAACGGAGGCCCTGCCTCAAACCCACCGGGAACTGCTACAAAGGATGCGCCAAAGCGGAGCTCTCCGAGGTCGCAGGACCGCGATCTCGCCTCCCCCGCTTTCCCTGGGGCCATTGAGATCGGCGCGCCTGCCGAGGCCTTAGCGCCAGCGAGCGCTGGTGGGAAAAGCAAACTTTACAGCGCCTTTCACCCCCGCACCCCTTGTCTCCGCTATTCTGTGTTACCTTCCTCGACATCTCAATCCCTCCAACAGCCACGGCAGCCTAGTAAACCAGGGCATTTTCTAGGAGGAAAAACACCCCTCTTTTTGTACCCAGACAAAACAAGCAGCTTCGTGGCAAGGCTGAAGTTCGTGATCGAATTCGGGGAGGGGTCCTTTCCCCCCTTTCTCTTTTTCTTGCAGCCTAGTAGACTAGTGAAAGCCAATCGAAACTCCATTAAACCTTTTAACCGTCTAAATTAGATTCAGAAGGTTTCCTTGCAAGCAGGCCTAAATAATAGAGTAGGCTAGAAGAATGATAGAATTAAAACACCTAACCTTTCCTAAATCTAAGCACGAAAACATTGATGCATGTGATTAGTTGAATTTAGAAGGCTGAATATGAATGTCCCTCGCGTGTCTTTTAAACACACAGCACGGGTAGGCCAGGTTCTCCAATTCAATTACAGCCTAATGGCGAAAATGTTTGCAATATGGTCACATTCTAGTTTCTCATAGGATATCTCCACAGCAGTGTTTGCATACACAGAGGTGTAAGTCTTGTGCTTGACAGCTACTAGGCAGTTCACCCGTTATTTACAAATTATAGTAAACAAGCCCAGGCCTGTGAAATTGCACATAACTAATGGGGGAAAATCTATTTATTTATATGCAAACTTAAATTTCCATGTCTGTCTTTAAAAAATAAATATGGAACATATGTGTATATTTTATGTACACATACTTTCATGTAGTTTTCTCCAATATAAATCGAAACATTACATTAAAACAATCTGACACAGCAAATGAATTAACGTGTGCAAATGAAGGATCCCCTCATTAACATATGGGGCATTTAATTTTTCTTCTCCACTGGAGTGCCTATGAGATCGGAAAGAGGCATACATCTAATCTAAACCCCTTCTTTGCCCCCTGTTGACCTTTCCTTATTAAATAGGAAGCCCGAATACGACCGCCGCACAAGCACATATGTTGAACTGGAGTCTACAGGCTGCGTTTGCGGCGCAGCCACCCTGGACGGTAACTTTGCTAAGGCGCCGGGAAGCAAGAGTTGCTTTTTGTACATGAAGTAATTTCTGCCTGCCCCCCGCTTCTCTTATTTTTGTTCCTATCGTCTTGTCCCTTTCCTTTTCCCTTTTTAGAAAGACACGTTCTTGGGGTTTCTTTTTTTGAGGGGAGCGCATTTTTCCGCCTTTCACTCCCTATTCAGAAAGAGGGCCCATTCATGCTTCGTTGGGGTTTTACATGCTCCTCCACACGTTATTGTTCATTTGGTCGTCTTTGATCTTTTCTTTCTGCCCTTTGGAGCATATTGCAAAATAAGGAACGTGGATATGAATGGACAATGAAAAGAGCCCGCTTCCCGGTCGCACAGGCAGATCCTACTCTCGGCAGCGCCACCAGCCGGTCTGCGGGAGAAGCGCCCCCGTTGTAATCCCTCCCCCACCCGCCAGAAGCGTGTAGCAAAGTACACACAAATAATTATTTTGCCCAGCAGACTACGGTGTTAGCACAGGTGAGCGGACGGCGAAGGATGGCGAGCGACAAAGCCTATCGCTTCCCCCCCAAGTGTGGGGCTGGGGCTGGGGCTGGGGCTGGGGGCGGCAGGGAGCGGTTCTTGCCGCCCCCCCTCGCACGCGCGTGCGCGCGCACGCACCGAGGCCCGCGGCTGGAAGGCAGGCAATCCGGAGGGTCTCCCGGCTGCGCTCCGAAGCGGGACCCTAGAAGCCGATCGAGAGCTCCGCTCCCGCCCCCGGCGCGGCGGCCGCTGAACCCCGCGCCCGGCGCGCACACGCCTCCCCAGGGGCGCGCTGGGAAATCAGGCGGATTTCTTCCTGGCTTCGCGGCCAGCTGTGAGCTCGGAAGCGGCAGGTTCGCGCCATCGGGATCTGGGGACGGAGCCGGGCACCCCGAGCGGACGGATGCCCCGCGGGGCTGACCCCGCCCCCAGCCGGGCGCCCCCCACCCCCGTCCTCCCCGGCGCCCCCGGCCCCTCGGCGCGCCGCCGCCGCCGCCCGTGGCCCCGGGCGCCGCTCACCTCCTGCGTCTCGGGGTAGTAGCTGTTCCAGTCGCTCGTTTCGTGCCCTTCCATTTTCACCGTCCCTAACATCATGGAGCCAAGGTGCCCTGTGTAACCATCCAGCCCTCTGGCGGCGGGCGGCGGGCGGCGGGAAGAGGAGCCCCCCCGAGCCTAGCAGGAGGCCGACCCTCGGGGGAGGAGGGCTCGATCGAGCCCCCGAAGGCGGCAGCCAGCGGTGTGTGGCGGCGAGCCACTCGAGAAAGTGAGGAAGTGCCGGCTGGGAAGTGCCTCGAGTTGAGCTGATGTGGATCTTACGTCGGCGCGGCGGCGGCGGCGGCGGCAAGAGCGCCCACCTCCTCCTCCTCCTCCTCTCCCCATTTGTCCGTCTCACAAAGGCGTTCGCACCTACAAAGCCGGAGATGCACCTGCAAACAAGGCAGTTCCACTTCGCTTGTAACTCCCCCGGGCGGCACTTTATTTGCAAAGCGGTGTAATTGGTCTAAGCGGGCCGAAGTGGGGCGGGGGGGGGGGACGGTGGCAGCACGAAGAAGGTTAAAAAAAGAAGGGAGGGGGAAAGAAGACACACACAGGGAAACTCAGAAGGGAGGAGGAAGAGGAGCAGGCGGAGGCGAGGAGAAAAGGAGCAGGAAATACCCTGTTTTTCTCCCTCTCGTTCCCCACTTTCCAAAACTGCGGAAACGCTGCCCGGGTGAGGGACAATTGAATGGCCGAGAGACACGTGAGAACAGCCCCTGTGCGCGAAGATCCGCCTGCGGTGTTGCCACCGAGCCTTTGGAACTTGGACACGCGCTTTTCGCGGCGACAGCCTGGGCCCCTAAGTGTGTCCCCCCCGCCCCAAATACTCTGGTCATTCCCCCCTACGTCACGCGTGCCCCCACATACCAGAAAGGACCGTGAAAAATAAAACAGAGCCTTTCCCCTCACCCCTTCCCGCAAGGCCACCACGCAGGTGAGTTGCCCGCAGGGCTTCCCCTTCTCTTGGCCCCGAGTCACGCTGCTGCCCAGAAACCCGCCGTGTGAATGAGTCACCCCCGTGACGTGAAGCCAGTCCAGGCTCCGCGAATGCAGGTCCTGAAACGCGGATCTGCTCCTAAATTGAAACTTCCACTTGGCACACGGCCCAGGTGAGTCACTCGGGCCATTCTTGCTGGGTTTCTCCGCCCCAGCCCTGCCTCGCTCCTTCCCTCCTGCAGCCCCGCGGCTTGCCTGAAAGCAGCGCCCTTAGGAACCGCCGCGGGCAAGGCAAGCGCAGGTGATCGTGGCGGAAACCTGGCGGCTCGGCCTCGCCTCTCGGGCGGAACGGGCTGCGCGCTTTCTGGGCGCTCCTAACGGGCCAGGACTGCGATCCTTGCGCTGCGCCCTCGCGGAGGAAAAATACCCACGGGCCTCGGCGGGTCTTCCTCCCGAGTAAACATCGCAGGGATCCCTGCGGTCATGAGGGAGTATCTACGACCACCTCCCCGCAAGGTCGATTTATGGGCGCTACTTTAGAGTAAATGGACTTGACTGTAAGGTTTCCAGCGGCTTCTCCGATGTTGTTGCTGGTGGAAGGGAGATCACTTCATAGAAACATATGCAAAACATCTAGTAATAAGACTTCGGTTTCCGGGGGGCTATAAGAGTTGTGGGGGGGGGGTTGTTTTCCTGGGGTTCGATTCTGGCCATGTAAGCTGGACTTCGGTGAGAGGTCGCATGTCTCTGGAACCCACGTTCCCATAACGAGGTCTGGATTCAACCCCTCCTGTACACAAAGTACGGTCCTGCGCTTGATTACTCGGAAGTAAGCTCCGCTGTGTTAGATCGAGACTTCCGCTCCTACAGAACTTCTTAAAGGGTTTGGATCTGGTGCAATTGCAATTCCACTGAGCGAAGCGGGAGCCACTTCCGATTAAACGTATATAGGTCTGCAGTACATATACACTTACTCGGGGGCTAGTCCCAGTAAACTCAGTTGGATGTATTGATTAAGGTAAGGCTGGAAGGCAGTTTCCAGTGTGATCAATGCAAATCTCCCGTCCTGCCTGAATAAAGCTCCTTTTCTTTCTTTCCCAAGCTGCATTATTTGCGTTAGCAAAAGACTGTCGAAACGGGACCCAGGTTGTTGTTGCTGTTTGTGTCTTATTTTAGTAGTGGCCAAAACTGGTTTCCGCCTTCCCCAAGAGCCGGAACGTCCATTTCAACAGCACCTCATTTCATCTGCTAAAAGGATGACACAGCGATGGACCTGCCAGTTCCTCCGGGGCAGCGAGCAGAACTGTTCTTACAGCCCGGTCCCCAACCCAGTGCGCCAACGGGGAACCCGAGGAAATCGAGCGCTGTGGTTGGAATCACGATGTCCCGGTTAAATGCTGGTGGTTTAATTGCACTTATTTCACCAAAGGGCTGAAGAGGCTTAAATCTGGAGCTACCTTTCCGATCTACTTTGGTTGCGAATGTAACTATTGATCTCGTCGACAGTCCTCGGATTTCGTTTAATTATCTAACAAATCGATATCTCTATCTGTAGAATTTCATCTAGATGTAATTCTATTATATATACTATACTAGAATAACTTTAAAAATAAGCATAGAAACCCACCCACACACTTAGTTCAAGAAATGTTTTAACTTGTCGACAAAAGGTGGCCCCTCTTACCCTTTCCTTTCTTTGTCCTTTTTCCTGCATTCAACCTGCTCCCCCACCCAAAAATAAATCTGGCAACAGAATTAAGTTAAATCCTTGAGACAAACATGTCTCAAACCAGCAGGAGAGAACAAGGGATGAAAATGCGCCATTAAGAAAATAAAGGATAAAAGCACTGGTGTACAAACTGCTTTTGAATATGACCACACTGTAAATTAGAGGCACATAATTAAATAACATGTGTAGGAAATGCATTGCCATAAAAGAATGAGAAACAACATAACCTTTGCTTCTGACTCATAGCAACAAACAGGTAGCCCTGTTTGTAAAACTGGTGAACTCTCTGAAGCTAAATGGATTTGCTAGGCTAGATTCTATTAAAATTAATGGCGATAATTAACGTGCAGTTGAGGGATTGTGAGTCCCATTAATTCCAGTAGGAGGGAGTTTGCTTTGACTCCATCCTACTACAAGGTTCCTTTGCTGAGAAGGTGAAGGCATTTGCAGCTACAGCCCAATCCTTAATATCAAAGCTCACAGAGTGTCATGTGAATGAGGGCCTTCTTGGGAGTAGCTCCCAGACTCTGGAACTCCATGCCAGAAGATGCCATACTAGCCCTATCTCTGTTATCCTTCGTACAAAAAGATATTCAGCTTACTCATGCGCTCTGGCAGACTTTTGGCTTTTAAGTTGACTGGTGTGCCAAAGTAGGTTTTAACCAATGGGTGCTAGTTATATTTTTTGTGTAGATGCATTTGAAATGGATACTTCTGTTTTTATTATAATTATCTTTTGTATCTGCATTTCATTATGCTCAGCCACCTTGAATACCATTTTAGTGGAAATGGTATGATTAATAAATAAAGAACTTCCAATCTTTCAGGCTGCGAGTTTACATTCTATTGAAATCAAAGAACTGTTCAATTTTTTTAGGACTTGGAGTTTCACAGGCTTCTTTGACTGTCTTGCTAGCAATCCTAAACACCTGCATTGGAAAGAAAGTTCCACTGATTTCAACAAAGCTTAATTTAAAAGGTGTATGGGGGGGGGGGGAGAAGGAGTGAAGCATAAATAACTGAGACACATGAAAGATGGGAGACCATATCCATTTCTACACACATTTCCCCCATGAATTCTGCTAAAGTGAGCACTTGCTCTCAGCTCCAGGGTATACCTCACTGTCCGAAATATGTTACCCCAGAAAAGAAGCACGGGAAGAAAATTATTCTGATTGGTGTTAGTGTTCGTATCATCACTCATAATGCCTATCTTGACTGGAACATTGTCCTACACTATGAATAGAAAAGCATTTAAAAGCGTTAATCTGGCAAAACAATATATTGTCCACAAGCTCAACAACAAAACCAAGAACGGGTTCCGTCCGTGTAAGAACTTTCCTCCTACTGTGCCTTCTGGCAAACCTCAGTGGAAACACGAGTGCGGCGAGGGCCTTCCCCACTTTGGGGTGAGCTAGGCGGGGGTTTCTGAATTCTCGGGCGAGGGACTGGTGCGCGCTTTTTGTGCTGGTCCGCCGGTGGGGCGGGCGAGGCAACGCGGGGGGAAACGGTGGGTTGGCGCAAAGGCACAGCGCCTCCTGTTGTCCCGCCACCCGGGCAGGCGCGCACACCTGTTCCAACCCGGCGCCTGGATCTCACGACGGCCCGCGGCGCGCAACACGCGAGCGCAGCTTTCGCGGCAGACGTGGCGGCGGCGGCGGGCGAGGGCTGCGCTTCCCCGGCCTCTCCTGCCAAGCGGCCCCGCAACAGCCCGGCGCGCTCGCCGCAGGGAGCGCCCCTCCAGGCCACACGGTCCCAAGCGGGGACCTGCTGCGCGGAGCGCCCGCCTCGCCTCCAGCCAGATGGCGTTCCTCGCCCAAAGCTGTCGCTGAGGGGGGTGCTGGGGGTGTTGGAGGGGGTGGCTTAGCCGGAGAGGAAAAAGCAAACAGATTAGTGGGGGCTCCTTCGCATCTTGACACTTGTTCCAATGCATCCTGGCAGGAAGGGAGCCGTCGGAAGGTGAGAGGGGGCCGCGAAGCGTTTTCGGGCGCCTCCCGCGGCCTGGGGTGGTGGCGGTGGGGCGACAGACGGCGGGGACACGGCTGGTCCTCGGCACGCCGGGGAGATGCCGCTCGTCCTTAGAGGGAAAGCAGCTGGGGGGCACCTCTGCTGGCGAAGCGCGCCCGGAGTCGGGGGCGCGGGGCTGGCGGAAGCCAAGGGTTTCCGCGCTTTATCTTCTGCGAGCAGGGCTCCTGCCTCGAGAGAAAAGAGGAGGTGAGGGAGAGGAGGAAAGGGTAGGACATCGCGGGGGGGGGGGGGCAGCGCTGGAGTCTGGGGCAGCGGAAGAAAAAAGGAAAGCGCAAGAGCAGCCTTGTGGCCCTTGAAGAGGAGCTGTGGCAGGACCCCTGGTGGCCTAGAGCCGCCCCATCCCAAGCGCCAAAGCAGCACCACCGACATCACTGCCGACCAGTAAGGCCATCTTTAAGGCGTTCCGAGGTTCCTTTCCTCATACTGAGACACAGAATCATGTTACAGGCATCCTTTCTTTTGGGAGTTCATGGTTCACATCTGGGCTTTCAAGACATCCCC